CGTGAAACTCTACCTTGCTGTGTTTGGAAGGTCTGTGTTATTTACATATGGTCCACACAACAGCCCACTGTTGATTTGTCATCGGGTTTGTAATGGTCAAGCGTTTCCTAGTGCTGGGGCTGCAAAGCACCTTATCTTACAAGAGCCGTTCCAGCTGCCCTGTTTTCGTCATGTTGGAACTACTCCTGTGCTCTGGGTTTCTGGCTCTAGAGGACTGAAATGTGCCAGTAACTGGGAGTTGTCTGTCTTAGGGATGATGGGAGCTTTGCATAATAAAGACACTAAAAGCTAGATAGCTGGAGCTTCTGAACCAGAACCATTTTAAGAACATTTATTCTAACAAGCACTTTATAAATTAAAGTGCTTGTTAGAATTAATGTTTTTAAAACTGTAGGTCAAGCAGAGGAAGTAAACTCTACACCCAAAAAAACCCCACCCTACCCCCTGAAAAATACTGCTTGCTCTGATAAGAGAAAGTTTGGTAGGTTTTTTTTTTTGGTGGTGGTGGTTTTTTTTTAGTTTCTGATTATGGCAGAACCTCTTCCAGAAAATCCATACATGCTAATTAGTTGTACCTTCTAATTTACTTTTTTTTCCTCAAATAATGCATTATGTAACAACTTGCTTGGCTTATGAAACTGAGTGCTTTGACTATAACAAGGCCTTCAAGTGGAATTTGTCCTAGAACTCACTAATGTTGTCAGTGTTTGTCACACAAGTAGAGAAGAAGCTTCTGACCCTTGGAGCTACATGAAGCTGGTTACTTGGGTTTGTCCAGCCCAAGACTATGTCCCCATTGAGCTACACTGTTGCCACAAGCCTGCTGGTCTCTCCTGTGGCTTCCGGGTGGTGACATTTACCGCTTTTGCTAGTGTAAAGTAGCACTTTTGATAGCTTTCTGTCTTGCTGGTATTTTGCAAAATTGCTTCCTACAGCACCTCCTGGCAGATGCCCGAGTATGTGGTGCCCTTTCCCCCATTGCACTGTAGCTGCCGACCTGAGACCAGGATGACTTTCCAGGGCTGTTTGAGGGGAGATGGGCTGTTTTGCTGCCCTACAGAGATCTGATAGGTTTGCAGACCTTTTCAGGCTTAGAACTGGAGAGGCCTGGGTCCTTGTCTTTGAATCACAGAATGGTCAGGGTTGGAAGAGCCCTCTGGAGACCACCTAGCTCCAGCCCTCACGCCAGAGCAGGGTCGCCTACAACAGGTTGCACAGGACGGCATCCAGGTGGGTTTTGAATGTCTCCAGAGTGGGAGACTCCACAACCTCTCTGGGCAGCCTGTTCCAGTGCTCCGCTACCCTCAAAGTAAAGAAGTTCCTCCTCATGTTAAGGTGGAACTTCCTATGTTCAAGCTTGTGCCCGTTACCTCTTGTCCTATCACTGGGCACCACTGAAAAAAAGACTGTTCCCATCAATTCCCATCAATCTTTAGGATGGTGTTAGGAATCTTTCAGGGATGGAGGTGAGATTTTTTTTTTTTTCTGGCTTGCACATCCTTCTTTGGAGGGAGGGCTCCTAGGAGACCCCTGCAGAAAGGGAACAAGCTTGTGATGTCTGAGCCCAGCTGCTCAGACTGGGCAGCAGCAGAGCTTGTCAGCTTGGGGTGGGAAATGACGAGTCAGAAGATGTATCCTCTCTGTTGTTTCCTGAAAGAAGAACATGTTTATTTTCAGTTTAAAGGGGTTCAAAATTTTAGACGTATAGAATGGCTTCAGAAAGGATTTGTTGTTTTGAGCCACGGTCCCCTCGTGTAAGCATCAGCTGCCTGTACTTACAGTATGCTGTAACATTACGTTCTGCAACATCGGCAAGAAAAAACTAGTGATCAAAAGAACTGTCTGTGAAAGAGCAATTACCAGTACTGACAGGACTTATTTTTTAAACAACTAAGGATGCCGGACAAATTAGTCTGTCCCATAATACTGTCCCACTTGAATTTGTAAGGTGTGTGGGAGGAGGAGGAAAATACCCTGTTTTTTCTAGTCTATGCCTTTAAAGTTCTCATGACTTCAATACTGTAGATATGACTCTTCTGCATAGCAAACTGGTTACTCATAGCTACAGCGTTGTAGATATGACTCTTCTGCGTAGCACATGAGTTTTAAAAAGGCATCATAAGCCAAAAGGTTAGTGAAATATTGATCATCAGTAACAAACCTCATTCTCCGAGATAGGATAGTATCATAATGATTCCAATATATTTGGAATCCCGAAAAAGAGCTGTGTATGTGCTGATTTCTTTTTAAACGGATCAATATTGTGAAGTCAGTATACTTAGCCAAGATGAACTCTAAATATAGATTGAAAGGGGCAGTCTGTTTCATAGCTGCCTTCATGGGTCCTGCAGGAGATGACAGGTTCCTATGGGTCTAAAAGTAGAGAGAGGAGTTTTCTTCGGGTGATTTTCACTGGCTGATTTCTTCCATATTGGCATATCACCTGAAAGCGGTTATGTTGTAAGTAACGTTTCATTTGCCTGGTTTTTATTTCCTTTTAGACTTGATTGTTCTCCCTTTTTTCTGTGAAGAATTTTCAGTGTGTTCTCACACACTAATAAGTTCTAATTTTACCTCAACTTAAGGAGAAATTTAGAAGTTGCTTGGGGAACAAATTCTTCAAGCAAGGTTAAAGTACAAGATAGAGTGACTCCAAAACCCCTGATGTTTAGATTAATTTGTTGGCAAAATAATCAATACTTTTGGTCGATGACACTGATATCTGTATCCTCTCTCCTTTTTTTGGCATGTCAATGGAATCAAACAAATGTAATATAGACTTTGTTGAATTAATGATGGTTATCTTCACTCCGGTTACATGCACAGTGAGGAAATCAGTTTTAAATAACTAATAACGAATGCAGAAACATATAATTCATAGTATTAATGAATAAAAGGTACTCACATTTATTACAGCTCAACTTGTTAAGAGTCTTCCCTGAAGTTGCAGGGAGATACTAACCAAAATACCCAAGAGAAACAACTGCTCTTTGGAGGCTAAAAATAACCCAAAGCTTCCGTGCACGAGGCGGTAACTGTTAGCACGTCGTTGCTGAAGCGCGGGGCTCTGTCATGACTGCGGAGCCAGCGCTGGTGGGGACGTGGCTCGTGGACCGTGCTGCCTGGCACCATGCGGCAGTCTAGGGGAAGGAAAGCGGACGCAGCCATCTGTCCTGAAATTGCTCCTGCACACCTAACGTTCATACGCTGGGTAAAGGTAACCACTACTATGCCAGCTTTTCTACCTTACTTTGTATTCTGTAGCAACAATTCTGAACAGAGAAGAAATACGCTGTAATATTTTCGCACGCTCTATTAAATAGAAATATAAAAGGACACGTGCAGGCCAGTCAATCCCCATTATCAGGAGAATGAGACCCATTGTTGGGAGTGATTGAAGCACTTAGTCTTCAGGCTTGCTGAGGCTCAGTGAATGTTTACTTGGCTGCATGCTCAGATTTAGGCAAATTATGACAATCATCTTCTGCATTTGGTTTGATGAGGGAAAGAACGGGTCTTTTCTGTAAACACTCAGACCTGTATTCCTCAAACTTCAGTTTTTTAATTTAGGTGCTATGTTAGGAATCCAGTCACACTGTGTTCTCTATTGCTTGGGGACACATGCAAAGAGACATCTCCATTGTGAAGGAGAGACATGCCAAGAGGGTAATTCAGCCCACCTAGGATTCAGAAATCATCCTTAGGTGCTTAACACTCTCCACCAACAGGAGGTTTACATCCAATGAAGTGCTGAGTTATGTCTGGCAGGTAACATTGAACTTGAGAGCTTTGATAAAATACTAAATGGGTAAGATGTATTTGACTCCAAGACTAAACTTACCTCTAAGCTCCCCCCTTACATTCACTAGCAAGGGAAAGGTACCTCCAGACTGCAATCGTAAGGTCAAAAAGACCTATCTTAGAGTAAAAGGAATATTACCTGGAGGTACATATTTTTCTTCAATAATTACTGAGGGAGTTTTCAGCAACCAGGGTAGCCTAAGATGCCTAATTAGAGCATCTGCATGGCTAGAACTGTAGCTTGTTTCTAGAATACATTTTTGGAACCAGGGTAGCATAAGGAAAACAAAAAGACTGTTAAAGAATAATGTGCAATTCATAGAGCAGCCTGCTTAAGTATTGCTTCTTTTCTATATATAATCTTCCTTCATAGCTGTATTTATATAAACAATCATTCAATGATTCGTGCACCCAGACTCTGCAGAGAAGCTGGTTTTGCTGACTGGGCCCCATCTGGTGCTTTTTTTAAAGGCAAGGTGTGGTAGTCTGAAGAAAAGGCTTTGCCATCAGGCTTTATTTTTGTCCAAAACTAGCATCTATCTGAAGTAGAACCACATTAGAAGACTATTTTTGCTCAGTTTTTCACAAATAAAAACTTCACAGTTATATTCCAATGTGCATAAGCAGACCAATATTCTTGCTGCATATCTCCTACATCCATACCTGCTTTCTCTGTCTTATCTCTGCAGTAGTTATCTGATGCTGAGAGCAGAAGACTTGAGTGACATCCTTCCTGGTGGTGTTAGTGAAGGTTTGGCTTTCAATGTGGTCAGGATATCACACTTCATCTTACCAAGTACCAACCAAAGGGTTATAGAACTAAATCACTAACATTCAAATCAATACTGGAGCCAGTCAAATACATTTTCTCCTTCTCTTTCTCAACACACACATATATATAAACACATACATATATATAAGCATACATACACATAGGTAGGTATACACACACACACGCACAAACCACAATATACAAATGGTATTTTATACTCATCAGAGATCTCCAAGAATAAAGTGTTGTCTACTGCATTACCCTTGCCTTCAAGACCTAGTAAGTGCGCTAGTCCTTCAAATCCCTTTGTCTTAAGGGCTGTTAAGGCTGCTTAGCATTTCCTTAGATCATGACACCAACTGTTACCAGTTATTTCGCATATCCATGTTTTAATGTACCTTTTTAACTATTATTTCTTTTAGATACGATGGAGAGGCCTTCCTTGGAAATTAACCTGCCTGATACTCACGAAGAAGGAAAACTTTATGTAGTTGACTCCTTAAACAACCTAAACAAACTAAATGTTTGTCCAGATGGATCCCAACATGCACTAGGTACGTATGATAGATGATGTTTTCTGGTTTTCTATGCATACAATAGGCCATCAAAAAAGATTTATGTACGACGTTTGAAAAGACTGACCATATTGTGTTGCACTGATGTCAACAGCCCAATAGGCCGATATGGGTATGTCAAGCTCTGTACTGAAAAATATAAGAAAAAGATTGAAAATGGCATAATTTAGACAGATCAGATTAACAGTTTAGCTGCTCCTGCTGAGTATTTCTGTTATTAGGTTCTTCGAAATCCCTGCATTTGGCTAGGGATTCACTGTCAAGCCTGAACTTACCTTCTATTTCCATTGGGATCCATGAGGTGGTCCCTTGCAGGATGATTTCTCTAGTAATGCTCAATATACACCTACTACATAAATAGCATCATAACTCTTTACAAGCACTGAAATTCACATGTGGCAATAGAAACACCAGAGAATTTCTGTTCATTCTTTTAAGATACATCTCCTAGGGACTCAAACCAGTTATCTCAAATATCCCATGAGACTTCTAAGCATTTTAATTCACAGACTCTTACTTGCAGTTTCAGATATGGGCTCTCACACTTCTGCGGGTTTTTTAGGGCTTTTATCTTTGATTTGCTCATGGCAACAAGAATATTTTCACCCAGTGATAGCTACAATATACTTGAGTTCTTCGTGACCTGAAAACATCTTAAAAACTGGAGTTCTTCAGCAGCATTCCACATGACAATATTTGAATCTGCTTTTATTTCCCTTACTATAATGGCAAATTTGACTGAATAAAATCTATAGAACAATAGCTATGTTTAAATGAGTTTCAAATGGCCATAACTTAATCATGCTTCTAGTTATAGGACTTAAGTGCCTTTCCAGTACTTCTGTTTCTGAGTCCTCTAACTTTTCCATGTGCAACTAACTAGAGTGGTGCTGGTTTCTAGATTTAACATGAAGATGTCAGACAACAGGTACTTAATTTTCATATGTAGATTATCCTGATAATGTCACTTCTACAAATACAAAATGAGACAATGGGATAAATCCGGTTTAATGTCAAAGAAACTCTTTGCAGTGTGGGTCTCTTGCTTTCTTTTGTAATTTTCATTGGACAGTATCGTTTACTTTCCAGGCAAATATATAGGGTTCTGTGGGATCACATAGGGTTCTGTGGAATAATCACATGCATGCTCCTCCCTACATTTCAGCAGTAAATAAAGGTAGCCTAATATGTATTTTATGTATGAATTTGTAAAGTGCTTTGGCTCCTTCTAGGATTATTCCTTTTGACATACATTTTTTTTTTTAAACTTGCAGATTCTGTAGCTATCTTATCCCATTAGTGAAATATATAAAATGAATTTTTCACAGCCCTCAGCTGCCCTATTCAGCAGCATAAAATTATGGTTCTCTTGCAAGAAAATTAACGAGATCTGTGAAGTATTTTTCAAATTTTGATAAATACTAAACTCTTGTGAATGATCTATTAATAGTATGGGACATGTCCAATTTGGTTAAAAAAAATATGTTTCAAGAGTGTTGCAGTACACAGCAATCCTCTTCTTCAGCAGCTTAATATGACCTGGAATAATTAAACACACAGCAACCACGCTAAGAGCTATTTAAGATGTATATACCTCTTGATTGCTTTGGTAGCAGCCATGCGGCAATTTCTTTATGTTTTAGATGATAAAATGGTCCCATTGTTTGCAGCTTGGCAAGAATCTGTGTTGGCTGGTTCCTCACAACACTGCAGTCTGGCACGTTCAGCCAGCTGAAATAGTAAGAAGAATTCATTAGGCAGAGCAAGCACAGACCACTTTTGAGACCTCTATTGATAGCTTAGCATGCTTGAGAGACAGCAGTAGCAGGCCCAGCCCATCCTTATCACTCTGATTAGAAAGCAATATTGGTGCAGGCACTTAGTATATGATGCATTTGTTATGAATGCTAAGGGAATAAAAAGAAAACCCCCAAACCCCAAATATTAAAAGGTTTCAGCTTACCTGCAGGCAGGAGTGTGTTAAATGCAATAAAGAAATGCAGAGGTATTCCCAAGGATCTCCTACTAGCTCAGTGAATTGCTCAGCCCCAGGTTGGTTCATTATTAAAGTGCTGTAATGGCATACGCAGCCTTCCCTCAGCTTTATCACTACAGGCTCAGTTGCAAACACCTCAGAGATTTCTACCAGCTAAAACAAGAGCACGATCTAGAAATATATTTTTCACAGATACACACGCTGCTCTCCCTTTTAGAATGGCAAGACAGCAAATGTAGGAGGAGAAATTATGATAAGCTGCTTGTAATTTTGGCATGTATGAGACTCACACCAAAATGAAATCACATTAGCTCCCTGCTCCCCCCAAAACATAAATTAAACTCAACCCTTAGTAAGTAGTTAAAGTAGTACGCAAACTTGGGATCGAAAAAATCTGGCTGAAGGACGAATATTTTTTTATACTCACCTGAATTTCTTTATGGTGTTCCCTTGACTTTACCTGTTATCTTTAGGGCTTATTGCCACCTATCATTTGATTGCAACTGTTTCTATGAGAGAAACTAGTGATTTTCCCCACACACAACATGGTCTTTAAAAAGCAATAAACTGGCTTGCCGCTCTGATTCGAGGGCAGCATAGCAACTACTTGTCCTTTTTTCCCCGCATTCTTCATGTGCTTGAAGGACAACATCTGTAGTCCATGTGAGAGTCTATTCCATTTTTGACAATTTGGGAGGATACATACCTCATTTTTTTGTTGGAATGGAGCCAACAAAACCTAAAGAAGAAGAAGAAGAATATTAAAAACATTTGTTTTAAGATAACAATTCCAGACCTACATTCATTCTATCCAACATCAGGAACTTAACTGAGATGCTTAATTTGGTAAATTAACCATCTCAGGGACACTTCAAACAGGAGGACACATCAAACAGAAGAAGATGCAAATCTAGAGGATAAATGTGTAGGATGAATCTGTAGCTAGGTTTTCAACACGAGTTTTTCTGTCCTCTCTTTTGAAAAGGTTGAGTCCATTCAGGGTCTTAGAAAGCCTTCTGATGAAAACGTCATTTCCACCTTTGTACATGTAAAACTGAGCTGTAAAACCCTGAAATGTAAAACAGGTCAATGTCAAAAAAAGTGTATTTCAACACCAGAAACATTTTTGTTGAATATGCCCCAACAGCTATAACAGATGTATTAGTTTTTATGTTTCCAAATTCAAGCTGAGCTCATAAATTTGGTTTCTTCCCTTCACATGCAATATCACAGGAAATAAAATCTGTTGGCCAAAATGATGATGTATTCTGCATCATTTCATGGAGCCAGAAGCATTTTGTCATGTTTCTCCTAACCAACCTCAACAAACTTAATCACCAAATGTTTTGTCACCTCCTAACAGATGTGGAAGAGAACACTGGTGATACTGAAGAAAATACATCAGGGAGCAACATTAGAAACCAGTGTTTGTTCTTCATCACCTTTATTCTTACTTTGATCATCAGTTTGGCACTTGTTTCGTTTGTAATATTCTTAATAAGTAAGTAAACAGTGGTTCTTAAAAATGTAGGGTCAAATGGAAGAAGAGCTTTGCTGAAATGCATCCTGCTAGCTTATAGCATGCTGCTGCTGTATTTGCATGGTCAAAGGCTTTGCCTGGTTATGGGCAGTGGGTCTTGGTCATGGGTGGAAAAGCACAGGCCTCCACTCTCTGACTTAAAGGCACAATTTTGTTCTTAGTGTGATGGTTTTGTGAGCTTCAACAGCTGTCAAGAATTTAGCTCAGCAGGGTTATACTGTGTTGCTAAAAATGCTGACTGGAAATTAAATTAAATTTTAAAGATGACTGCATGGCAGTGAGATATTTTGACAACGTGCCTTCCGTTCCTTTCCAGATAAAACTTAGTACTGGTGTCATTCCACTGAAACTGGAATTACACCCAGGCTAACACTTATATTAGGCTACCTGAAGAAAGACGTGAAGGTTGCCAGCTAAGTACTGACTGGAAATTGGTTTGGAACTAGGAAAATCTCAAACAAAAAAACAGATACTATATATCGAAATTGGCACGTAGCATTGAGTCTGTAGATGCAATTACTGTTCCACTTCGGCTGGACCAGTTGGGCTGGCTTAGCTACGCGCATGACTAGAGGTGACCTTGGTTTATGGAGCCATTGCCATCTTGGGGTTTTCTGAGCTAACAGTATTGAACAGAGGTGCATTATTTTAACTAACAAGTCCATTTTGAATGAATTGCAATCCATGTGAAATCAAGATTTCTTTTAGCCTTAAGGAGGGAATTCACTGGAGCATAGCAAAAATCCTCATTTTCCTTTTTGAACAGGAAATCCTAATCCTTGACTGAATTCGCTCACACGCGCTCAAAGGACAGAATATCAGACAAGTGAAGAGCACAAAAGAAATTTTAAGTGGCATGATTGTAAAACCCTAATTAAAATATCTCATACTTGAATTCTAGATTTATTTTAGCGGGCAGCTGCTAAAAGTAGAACCCGGGTATAGGAAAATGAGTAATGTGACCCTCTAGTGGAAAAATAGTAAAGTAATAGTGAAAAGGCTACTTACAGGGATTAAACAAGTTTGTGTGGGATCAGGTTGGTGGAGGTCTGTGGTTTCTGAAACTGATTTCCATCAGTGTTTCAGATTATATTACAAACGCGATCTCAGATTATGTGTGCAATCCACAGACATAGATTTGTTTAGCGTTGGCACTATTAGAATTAAGCGTGAAAACCCATGGGTAAATTTTGTTCGGAAGGCCAAAATTAAAATAGCTCCAGAAGTGTACGTGACAGATACTGCACATATTGGTGTTCCAGAGGAAACTGACCTCTAAATGCCAGTATTTGCAAGAATTTTCCTTTAATTTAAATGCTTTAGGAAATCAAGTGATGAGGCTGCAGTCTGCTGTGTGTTTTCGCAATTGTTCTTAAATGTTTCCAACTTAATGCGGTACATTTTCCTTTTTAAGTTCAAACTAGAAACAAGATGGACCAAATATCAAGCAGACTAATATCTGAAAAGAAGAACATAGAAGAGCTTAAGAAAATGAACAATATGATATTAAAGCATCTAAATCAATCAGGAATTAAAAGGAGATACCTCTTCACACAGTCTCCTGATCTTCATGATTACCTCTTTACCCATGCTGAGCTGAAAGTCCCTGGAGAATAGATCTTCTTTGGAATGAAATTCAGTGTATTCATTTACTCAGATATTTTCACATATGGCACACAGGTTACTTAAACATTCTGATGTGGTCACAGCAGCATTGGAAAAGCTAGCTGAGTGAAAAATATTAGAAAATAATATTTTATCCTGTTTTATGTGAATATAGTTTTTGAAAACTAAGCCCATATGATTTACAATAAACAATGGATTGTCAACAATTTTGGGCACGAGTTCCAAATCCTCTGTGCATTGTAAATTGCAGGGCTAAGGGCTTAGTTTTACTTCAAATGTAAGTGAATGATCACAGAAAATAGTGACTTCCATTCACACAATTCCAGCGTGACCTTGCTCACTTAGTCATTCTCCTGTTTCTTTGGAACAAGTTTCGTGTTTGCTTCTGTATTACTTGTATTTAAGGATAACTTCAGATTCCATAACTTATAAATAAATCCAGTTCTGCCATGGAGGTTGGTGGTTTCCTTTTCTGTACATCTAAATAGCCTGACTTACTACTCCTTTTGCAAAAAAAAAAAAAAAACTTGAATAAAAACAAAGCCTTTTATAACATGCCATATTCAGCCCAAAATGGTATGGACTGAAAGTCGGTGTCATATTGTCTTACCTGGGAAACGGGTTTAGAGGACTCAGTCTGGTAATACCAATCTTATAGCAATGCTAGTACACTTTACTCAGCATTTACTGCCAGTTTCTGGGTGAAAGCCAAGTGGTTTTATAAACTGATGTGAGGAAAATAATACATATTCTTGTACTCTTCCCTGTAGTTGCTGTTGGCCACTATCGGAGAAGGGCCAGGTGAAATCTGGTGTGAACCTTCATGTTTTTAAAATGGAGCAGTACCTCAGAGGGTGAAAGCAGGAGCCGATGCTTTCTCACTCTGACTTTACACAGTTGAGGTGACCCACACCCAAAAGTGTGATCACATAAGGGACTGGTGGGTAGCTTTGTAATTTTACTATTCAGAACCTTCTACTGGTACGTACATTAAGAAGCCACCTCCATTATCAAGAAATAAATTGGTTACTCCCATCATAACAGTGCAATGGCAGCTGACACTATGGAATATATCCAACATCTTCCCTTTCACTTTGAGTTCTCTTTCTCATCCAATACTTTCTTATCTCTTCTGGATAATTTTACAAAAAAGTCACCAAAGTTAACAACTTGCATTGCAGTCTCTTTTTGTAGAATGAGCGATAATCCCTTCTGTGATGACTACTTCATTGTCTACAATAGAGTGAAGAACTAGGTCCAGGAATCTTTCTTGGTATCACTCTACTTTGATTTGCCCACCAATTCTATTCCTGCCATTGGGAGTGCTTTGCTTTACACCCACGTGTTACATTACCTTCTTTCTATTTCTTGATTTTTCTTTCCCTGATGTACTACTGTCAAGTCATTCACATGAAAACTGTGAGGTTTGATCTTAAGAGTTTATTACTCCTGCTGTTAATTCCCAGCTGCAGTTGTAATTATCTCCTCTGGATATCACAAGCAGTTGTTACAAAGATGACTTTAATATAGCTAATAGAGAACAACAAAAGTAAGCATAGAACAAGTTGTAAGGAAAGAAACCCTAAAATATCCCAAACATCTTTCTATAAATGCTGTTAAACAATGAAAGAGAAAGTATCGGAAGACTAAAAACATGGCACTTGCAGTATTGTTTCTCTGTTCTTCTCCGAGCTGTCAGCTGCTTTTTAATGACAGTATTAAGTTCTCATCTCTCCCACTCATCTTGTAGCTACTGTAACTGCTTTCAAGCTCCTGTCTTGCTCTGACACACATCCGTACTTGTTAGCCAGGGAGAAACAACTCTAGTATTTGGCACTCGGTGCATCTCAAACACGTGGATTTGTCACATCTCTCCTTGCAACTGCAGCTATGAGAGCAGTTTGTGGTCTACTAGAAACAGACGCCAATCGTCAATAGATTTTTCTGGCAGGAGACTGTAAATAAAAATCTGTGCTACAGCAACAGTCCCCAAAGGAATGAAAGCTTCCTCCTCTCTCTGATCTTGTCCTCAATTACTCTTAATCTAGTTATTCAATCTGTACTCATAATAAATCCACTTTTCCTGTCTCTATTATTGATTAGAACAGTTGGTTGGGTTTTTTTTTCACTCCAGGGTTTGATCCTGCAAAGTGCTGAGTGCCCTCAACTGCCACAGGCTTAGGACCAAAATGTGCAGGCGGGCTCAGTATCATAAAGGACTGAGGCCCCAACTCACCCTTTTCATATTTAATTGTTTCTTCACTTGTGGTGATCAGCAGTAAAGATTGAAAAAACGCAAAGGTCCAAGGCACTTTTTAGGCCCCTCCTGTTAGCACAGTTGAAACACATCCGTTGTTGGAGCCACTGGCGTACAAGGGAGACACGGGGCAGCACAGCATACGGCTGCTTGTGGCTTCTCAGCTCAAGTTACCAATATCCACTTACAGTTAGAACCGCTTCCATATGAGACCAGAGCGAGGGCTGAGATGGCGGCCTTGACGGCAGAGTGCCACAACCACTCCACCAACACTTTCTGCAGTAGCCCCCTAAACAGAAGCAAGTAGCGGCTCCTTCAGGGGAACACTGCTGTCTAATCTACTGACAGTGAAATTGTCCCAAACAAACCAATACTTGGTTGTTAAAATCTTCTACAAACTTGGCCCTGAAGCGAACTTCAGCTCATTCCAGAGCTCCACAATCCTCATCTTGAATAAACAGCGAAGTCACCAGTAAACTCCGAGCTCCAACAGCATGTGGCATAACCACTGTGCTGTGTATGTTACAATGTCTGCTGTAGACATAAAATCTCTGTTCTCCTACGGCAGCACACCTCGGGAGCTTTTGCAATATCTGGCATCACGACAAACAACTATCTGTACAGGAAAGTGATCTGACAGTAATAGCTTCATCTTAACAGTAGTCAGAGCCGTTCTCCTCAGTAGCACTGCTTCTTTCCTTTTTCTCTTATTTGCAGGCTATGGAGGTATCTATCCAAAGTAATTTGTTTTTCAGTATTTCTCTGTAAATAAAAGCGATGCACAAAGGGTTCAGATAGATTTAACAACATGCCACTGACATGTCTCTCAATAGCTGCAACTACTATCGTCACTGAACTGACAACTTGACTTCAGGAAATGTTCTGCTGAATAAACCTGGACAATACTAGAAAGGTGCTGGTAAGCAAGGAGAAACACTTGGAAGATTTAACCAAGAAATTATCTTCAGCTTCCATCAAAGGCATCATGGTGCCAGTCCCTGAAGTTTTTCCTGAATCTTTAGGTGGTTAGGTAAAACCAGTAGACAAAATACTTTCTTCCCCTGATCATCTTGCTGAGAACTCACTACTTTGTTCCAGGTATCCACAATAGTCCATGTTCTTGTTATCCCATGTTCTCTGATTATGTGAAACTACATGTGGAGAGACTATACAGTAACAAATAGTAGAGGCTCAGCTACTGCAGGCATTTGCTTGCCTTCCTTGGGGTCACGTTACCATGAGAATATCAGCTTGTACTTGGTCTTGTGCTCCTCTAGTAGCAAAAAGAGCTCAGTATCTACAAGCAGCACGCAAAAACAGAAGACAAAACATCCTTTATAGAGATCTGTCCATGAAGCAGCCAGAGGTTAGGTAAATCCAGACACAGCATCAGATTTACTTAAACCATTCCTGACAGATGCTTGTCCATTCACATTGTAATATTTAAATGATGGAACTTCCACAAGTCATCTCTTCTAGTGCTTAACTAACCACATGTTTGGGGTTTTTTTTCCCTAAAGTCTAAATTAAATGTTCCCCGCTGAAATTTAAGCCCATTATCACCTGACCTATTGCTTGTGAATAAGAAAAATAGTTTGTTACTTTCCAATTTTTCAGTTATTTTGTACTACACTAACTATGCAAGGCAATTTTACTCTTAAAGAAAGCTTTTTTACCCTCTGAGATGCTTGGAATTTTAATACAACATTTATTCTTAAACTCTAGTATGAATTCGGTTCACATCTTTATTCACTGGTAACAATACAAAGCTGAACATGGGTAAAAAACAATAATGATGTGTGTACTCTGAATCTGGAAAAAGAGAAGAGAAAATTCCAGGAATGGCAAAAGGATCGTCACAAGTTTTGTTAGACCACATGCTCCCGAAGGTGATGTGTTGTGTGTTGCAGAGAATCCAAATTGTTCAGGAACACTAAATGCAGTGTCAAGGCATTTGCAAAATGAGCAAAATGGAACAATGTTGAACAAAGCAGGAGTATTGTCAGAACCAGAATTATCTGAACCGTTTCATGGGGTTTTGATGTCTTTGAAGATAAAATATTTATTTTCATGCTACCAAAGCATAACCTTGTAAAAATACACACAAAATTGCCTGCAAATATGCATTTTCAGATCAAAAATTCCAAATTTTCTTATTCATTTCTCCCTGTCAGACGGGAGTTTCTGCTCTGAGATTCAGAACCTACCCCATTGGAAATGGCAGCAAAGCAATGTGCCCCAGGAAAGCTTTAGTGTTTTAAAAATATTTTATTTCGACAAAATTGCAACCAGAGAACCCTGATTAAGCAACACCTAGATAAAGCAAATGCCAAATAGCAACTAAACATTGGATTTCTGTTTTGACTAGTAACTGAAAATCATCTGTCTGAGACAATGCTTAACTTGATCTTCTTGTAGGTTTCTAGTGTAATTTACCTTGGAAGACACTGGCAAATAATGGAAGTTGGAAAAAACCTTAGATCGCAGCCCTACGGGGGATACTGGGATTAAGGGAACTGTTCTCTTCAATTAAGAAAAAAAGCGCATTCAGTCTGTTACTTGTTACTGTTTTTATTTTCCTGACAGATTAACAGGAATACTGAGATTTAAAGAGAGGGAACAGAGGGGGTGAATGTACTGTCCCTTCCTCTGGAATACATAATAGTAACACTGTGACCAAAGATGTCAGTCTTATTCCAGAACCCGATCAATCTTAGAATTCAAGAGAAGTTTT